AAAAAAAAAGCCAAAAAAAGCCAAACAAATTGACTTCTATTTTTCCCTGCACAAACGTTCTCAAACTAGTGCAGTGCATTCCAGCACCCAGGAGCCCTACAACCCCAGCTGCAGACTCACATTGTAGAGGATGTCGGTCCATCCCTCCATGGTGATGCACTGGAAGACGGTGAGCACAGCAAAGAGGATGTTGTCAAAGTTGGTGATGCCATAGTTGGGCCCTTGCCAATATTCCCTGCAGGTGGTCCCACTCTCGCACTGCCTGGCAGGAGGCTCCTCTCCGCAAGGAAAATCTCCCACCTCTTCACCTGTGCAGGAGAACAGAGGGAGAAAAACTTACTGATCAAAGCCAGCTAAGCAGCTGGAACTGCTGGATCCTCTTTGCACCATGAGATGAACCTGGTTTGCATTTCACGATTCCTTGGTGCCATTCTGGGCATGTAAAAGATGTTACACTCGGGCAAGCATTTATATACTGCCATGCTTTAAGGGGCTGTTAAGTGGCAGAGCGGAGCAGAACTACCTCTGAACTGCCCACAGTTTGCCCCAGTGCTCAGCCACATCATTTACAGAATCATAATCATCTGGGTTAGAAAGATCTTCAGGATCACCATGTCCAACCTGACCTACTGAGTCCCATCACTGAGCCATGCCTCTTGGTGCCACCAATGAGAAGCAATATGGAAAAGAAATAGTGCAGTAAAATAAAATCAAAGGTTTGGAAATGGCTGCGTACAAGAAGATGCTGTGAGATACGGATGCAGCTTCACACAGCATAGCTAATTGCTCAGCTGCAGTCTCATTGTAAGCTCCATGTTTCTACCCCAAGGTCAAAGACGGCATCCAGCAGCAGGGATGGGGCTGCTCCACTGAGCTTTGGTTCAGGCAATGCAAAGGGGGAAGCAGTCTGCAATGGTTCAGGGCCGCTGGGGATGGCCAAAAGTGTCCCACGTCTTCCAGTGCCAGCTGTGAGTCATTGCATCCCTCCAGAGACATCATGAGCGCCAGCAGAGAGCAGTTTGGAAAAATAAAGTGCTGGCTTTTCAAAGTAAATAAATACACCAAGCAACGTCCCTGCTTACACAGAGTTGCAATTCTGGAAATACTACATGGTTTTAAAAGTGACACGATATGGTGGTGGAGCAGCAAACTCCACAAAATCAAATTCACCAGGGGGAAGAAACAAAATCAGCGCTAACAATAATTAGGAATAATCATTCCACAGAGCAAAGCCTGCAGGAGGAAAACAAACCCATCAGCGTGGCTGCAGGATGTGGATGTGTGTGTAAGTGCAGCCTTTTCCTGTTGACTCAACACCTCAGTGCGGGGCATCGCTCCCCAGCTCCCACCCTGGTCACTGCAGGCTTTGGGAAGGGGTTGGTGAGACAGGGCTGTGCAAAGAAATATCAAACCTGGCTCTTGCTGACCGTCTGTGAGCTCTAATAGAGAATCTCTCTCTTTGGCCTTTTGCTGCTCTAAAAAAGCAATGAGTTTTTTCTCTTGGAAAGAAAGACATTGACAGAGCAGAATTGGTCCCTACCCCCATAGCTGGGGTAAAGAGATGAGGAAAGGGAGCACACCAGGGAAAAAATGGGAAGTAAATGTGATGTCCTTTGTTTTTTTAGAGCAGATTCAGAGTGTTTGGCCTGAGTGAGATGCAGAGGACATCTGCTTAAAAACTGTCCTGTGTCTGCAGAGCAAGATTGCACAGAGGCTGCCAGGAGAGGAAAACAAGTCTGGCACCCACCAGACAATACACAGCTACTAATTTTTTTACCCATTTCTCAGCCCAGCCTGAAACGTCAGCCTCAAATGAACTTTTTGCCATATTTTGGTCCCCAGCATCCCTCTGTCATAGTCTGTTCCTGCAGGGCTTCCGTGCTCACAGGTCTACAGCAACGTTGACTGCTGACACTTCCACTTTCTTCCCTCCACGACATGAATTCATGACTGATAGCCCTCATCCGGTCCCCAATCCCAGGAAAAAATCTCCAGAGGTTTCTCACGTGGAGGATTTGAACAGACACCAATGTGAGCAAGTCCTCATCCACCAATTTGAGACCCTTTGACACGGGTCATCTTTTTAACGAGGTTCACATTCGCATGCTGAAGTCAGCTGTCTGAGCCCGTGGTCTCAGGCCTGTGCTCGTTAATGCACCTCTTTGGATCTGATGAGCACTTAGGGTTTAAAAGGCTGTGCTGACAGCATTGTGGGATGCTCTGCTGCTCCACTCAGGGACTGCAGAGCCAGGAAGCCTCGCTGCCTTTCCAGAAGCATCATTTCCTGCAAAGCAGGTGGCATCGATCCCCATAACTCACCCTACAATGAGGGGAGGGGAAAAATAGGGTTCAGTGCCCGTAAGCAGAGCCGCTTTCTGCACTGCTGAGATGCCAGGTGCTGCAGGGCAGAGATGTGACATGCAGCATTTTCTGGCTGCACTCCCAATTCCTGGCTGGGGGTCACTCAGCAAGCAGCAGTCACTTGCACACCATGGGGCACAGTGACAAAATCTGTTCTCAGCCCCCAGCTTGGCACTGAGACCTCTCAGTCACTGCTGATGTCACGGTTGTTTGCAGAGAGCAGAGTGCTGGGGTTTGTTTTTCCATTCCAAGCTAACTAGTTTTCTGGGGAGGAAATATGAATATATCTGTATTATTTTGCCCACTGGATGCAGCCACCCCAGCAGAGAATGAACTGCAGAGCCCAGTGCTCCCAGCCTGCAAGCCGAGGATGCAAGAACTCACCCAGCTCATTCTAGGGCTGCAACGCAAAAAATCTGAGAGTGCTGCTCAAACTGCAGATCTTTTCTTCTTGTTATTCTTAAGTGTTTTCTCCTTGCCATCTCAGCGAGAGCATTGCTACCTCCTGCACCTCTGTGGTCACCGTTATTGCTGTTCCTCTGCAGTCGTTGCAGTGAGATGAAACCTTTTCTGCTTGGCACCAAAACGCACACACAGCAAAGCAGTTTTCCTCTCCTATCTCTCCAGCCCAAAAACTTCTCTGATAGATCAGTTGGACACCAGCGCAGGCTGCCCAGGGGGGAGGTGCAGGTGTTCCAGAAGTGTGGAGACGTGGCTCTGAGGGACGTGGTTTATGTTGGCAGTAGGTGGACGGTTGGGTTGGATGATCTGAGAGGTCTTTTCCAACCTCAGTAATTCTATGAAACTCCATCTCTTCTAGGAATCACTCTGCTGCTCACAAACAAATCTCTAAACACCCAACTGTCCTGTACAAGCTGTGTTCTGTTTTGTTAATGTTTCTTAGGAACATAAGCAAAAAAACAATTTCTCCCTCTTTTTGCTAAACTCTGTGTAAACTGAATACATTAAACTGTTTCCATGTTGTTTATTATAAACCCTCATGAAGGATGCCCAGAGATTTGGCTGGGATGTTCTTTTATTACCATTTGAATGCACATAATAAATCAATATGAAGACCTATTAGTGATAATCACTGAAAATACAAGACTGTGCTTTAAAGACAGTCAATTATACCTTAAATTGCATCTTTTGGAGACAGGAACAATATTTTCATCTGTGGTTAGTCCAGATAATCAGCACCTATTAGTGCTATTATAGCAGGAATATTTAAAAATTACATGGAAAAAAAAAAAGGCTTTTTTATTTTAATTGAAATGAGTTCAGTGAAGCTGAGCACCTGTTGCACTGCCAGTGCTGCATGGTGCCTGCTCCTGTCCACCTCATTCACCTTCATGAGTGCTCCCTGCTCTGCTCTGTTTGAAGGGCATTTTTAACCTTTCTCCATCAGAGGGCTCCTTGCTTTTCATCTATTTACCTGTTTGTTTTTTTCAGTTTTTGGGATTACTCCCAACCTTTTCAATATTACCAATGGCACTGACATCCTCTGCTACCCATACAACTTGTCCAAGAGATCTTGCAAGGAAATTTCCCTTTTGCTGCAGTTTGCAGAGCTAAACCCACTGATACCAAGCAGAGACCAACAAGTTGAAATAAGAAGCTGCCCTTCAGAGGGCTGCAACCATTGAAATTTGTTTCTTTATATCTATTATATGCCTCTCTGGAGGTGCCTGTGGCCATGGATAGAGTCCTGGGCTGCCTGGTCTGGTGGGGGGCAACCAGCCCATGGCAGGGCAGTTAGAACTGGGTGATCTTTCAGGTTGGCTTCTAACCCAACCATTCTGTGATTCTGTGATGATTGTGAAACAAATCAGGAGGCCCTGAACACCCTTGTATCATCCTTGGGTAGACTGACAGCAGCACCGAGAGCTGGTGTTGAAGTGGCAGGAGGATCCATCCCAGGGTGCACAGGGTGAACAGAAGTCTGTTAACTCAGTAAAGATGGGAAAGGAAAAGCCACATGAGAACAGGATGGGAATAGGAATCTTATGGAGATGGATGAGATAGAAATGGAGATGGAAAGGATGGGATCTCTGAGTGCCACGAGGTACACTGGGATGGCAGCAAAGCTCCAAACTCACCTGTCTCATTAGAGAAGCAGGTTTTGTGAAACTTCCCCATGTAGAATTCCAAGCCGATGATGGCAAACATCACGATGGCAAAGAAGAGGAGCAGCCCAATCTGAAGCAGAGGCACCATTGCCTTCATGATGGACTTGAGGACGACCTGCAGACCTGCAGGGACAGGGAAATACAGGTCATCAGGGAGGGAAGGAAAATGAAGGCTGGAGCAGGGGGGTGAGGCAGGGGACACAGGGCATCTAAGGGACAGATTAGGACTTGAACTCCATGCAATGCTGCTTTCCTAGGGCGCTGTAAAGAAACCTTCACACGCTCAATATTTCAGACACGGAAGCAGGGAAGTTATCTTTTTCCAATCTCCTTTCTTCAGATCCCAGATTCAAAGGTCTCTTAAGCTTCAGAGACTCAAAAGGACTTTAAAAGGACATTCCCTGCAGTTGGTGGAGTCCCCAAATTCAGCTGGGGGCCAACTTACAGCCAGGCCCTTACAGCATCTCCCCTGACAGTGCAAGTTGCCTGAGGTCCGCTTCCACAAGACCAGCACAGAAGCAAAAGGAACAAAACCAGACTCAAACATTCTCCCAGGGTTCTCCATCTACAGCTTTTTCACAGGCACTAAAACTCATTTTCAGTTAAAACCAGGGGAGATAAGGCTAGAGAAGCAGGCGAGATGGAGGTGTCAGATAACGTCATGCAGACGCACATAACAAAATAAATTCAGCAATAACTGGCAGCTGAAAGCCACCTTGGTGGCCTGCTGTAAGGTGCTGAGAAGGAAGGGCCATCGCTGTCTCACCACCTTGCACTGCTGAGGGCACTCTGAGGGCAATACAGGATAAAAAAAAAAAGCATTGAGATCTGTTGGAGAGGAAGAAGTACCCAGAGTGTAGAAGAAAAGCATGTAAGATGATTGTGTGAATGAGCATTCAGTTTTACATTTACTACAGGGGGAAAAAATGCACAGTGCTCACAGCTTTCAAATCAAATAATCAAATAAAATCAAATAATGCCATGTAGGAAAATATCGTTGCCCAAAGAGGTGGTGGTGCCCCAGCCATGCAGACACGGAATTATAGGTGTCCATGTTCATCACCAGGGGTTGGACAAGATCACTTCTAAAGGTCCCTTCCAACTCAAGAGATTCTATGGTTATGATTGTGCAGGTCCAGGGCATGCCAGCAGATGGGAGGGCACACCTTACCCAGACAACAGCTCAAGGAATCACAGCCCCTAGCAGGGACACCAGGGCCTGGCATTTCTGTAAACACATCATCACTTGAGCCCTTTATTTTTTTTCCTCGACACTCAGTGAGCTGATCCTTGTGTTGGCTGGAAGTAATTTAAGTCAACATTCCCTGACTTGAGGCCCTTTTCCCCATAGCAGTCATCAGCAGAAGCAATATCTTTTATTGAACTGACTGCAGTACATGGAGGAAGAAGACAATATTTCAGGTGCACAAGGTACATCCTGAGCTACCTGAATAAAAAATATATCAGATAATAAAATAAAATAAAAAATCAGCTTTTCCCCCAGCCTTATTTCTCCAGCATCCTTGGACGCGGACACAACAAACATACAGCATCTCCTTTTTAGATGTATGTTAGTAAGTAGTGCCTTTCTTAGACTAACCAAGGACCTGACCTATTTGGGCACTCAGACTAAAGCCTTGCCCATGAAAGGATGGTGATCTGGGGAAAATTTGCTGTTAGTGCATAGTGTAAACCTTTGCTTCATATCTACAGCAGTGGCGTTTTGATCCCAAGGTAGCAGCCAGCCAGCAGGCAAGGAGTTAAAGCAGAGCAGAGCATCCCCTGAGCTAAGGGGTTTCCTTTCACTGGCTCTTGCTAGAGAGAAGACCTCTCTGTTCCACATCCAGAAATGAAAGACACTCCTGACAGCCAATTGTGCAGAGCAACTGGCGAACAAGGACAAAGAATCGTAGAATCACAGCATCTCCAAGAAATGGAGAAACTGGAAAAGACCTCCAGGAGCATCCAGTCCAACCGTTCACCTCTCACCAATATTTCCCACTAAATCTTCTCCCTCAGTACAACATAATGTTTCTTAAACACCTCCAGGGTCAGAGACTCCACCACCTCCCTGGGCAGCCTGTTCCAGCGCCTCTGTGAGGTCAGCACTCTCTCAGAGAAGAAGTTTCTCCTGATTTCCAACCTGAATCTCCCCTGGCACAACCTGAGGCTATTCCCTCCTGTCCTATTGCTCAAAAAGAGCAGCAAGGAGTGGTGTTGGTGCTGGGTGGTCTCAAGCTATAAGCAAGGCACGATTTATCCTCATTATACCCTTCACATCAGCATGTAAAATAGACCAAGTGCCAATGAGAAGGTAAGACTGAGTCCTGTCTGTTCCTTGCCTTAGGATTTTTCCCTCTGTGAGTTACTGGGCTGGTAAATCAGTCAGAAGTTCCAAGGTCAGGGCAAGGGGTCTGAAAGTTGTAAATTTCTGTTCTCAGAGCTTTGTGTGTGAATTGAAACAGTTCAAATCCAACGACAAAGGAGTCCCAGGACAACACCCTGCCACGCACCAGCAGAATTCAGGAACTACATCAGATGGCCGTACCAAAACTGGGACAGCAAAAACCCAAAGCCCTGGAAGTGTGAGGGAAGAACATATTGTTCATAAAAGCATGTTAGACCCCAAAAAGGTATAGAACCCATTTGGCTGTGAAGGCGACAGGTTCATGACACTCACTTGGGATTCCTGACACCAGCTTCAGCGGCCGCAGCACACGGACGGCTCGCAGGGTCCGCAGGTCGAAGTCGGTCCCAGCAGTTGCTAGAATCCTAGAGTTCAAAGAAGAGAAGGGAAAGAGAAAGGAAAACGGGATTAAAAATGCAAATTCCTGTTTCCAAAGCATGGATTTGGGGCATTTTTCAGGCTGCTTCAGTTTTTATACCTGTCATTCATTGGATCTGCTGAAAACCAGTAATTTGCGTGCTCCTCCTGAGCTGCTGAGCTTTACTCAGACATGGGAAAATCCACAACACCTTTATGAGGCTGTTTGCATTTAGAGTGGGTCTGGCTCTGGCCCTTACGAAACAGCACCCTGTACTTAGAGAACACATGCCATTTTAAGACAGTGAGAGGGAAAGAACCCCCCCAGCTGTGCTAGAAATTACCTGCCAGAGCCTTTTGCAATAAATTCAGAGATCCCTCAGGTACCCATACCCTGTGTTTCATAATATTTAAAGAAGTTTCTGCTTATACAGTTTATCTCTGCAAAATTAATTTTTGCTCAGGGAATCTTATTTGAGGAGAACATCCAGAGAGTAAGGCGCGTTTCCTCTGATATGCTCACATGGCCCTAAGAAGAAATACAGGTCCCAAAACCAAATGATTCTTGAAAACGGAGTAGTTTCAGAAAATGAAATCGCATTGGTGTTTCAGGATGCAGTAAAGGAAGAGAATAATAAAATCACAGGATCAGTGAGGTTGGAAAAGAGCTCTAAGATCATCTAGTCCAACCATCCATCATCAAACATTGCCCAGTAAACCATGCCCCTTGGTACCACATCCACAGGTTTCTGGGACACCTCCAGTGATCCCCCACCTTCAGGGCAGCCAGTGCCAATGCATCATCACTCTTTCAGAAAAGAAATTCTTGCTGACATCCAACCTGAACCTCTCCTGAAGGTTCTACAGCTAGATGGTTGAACCTTCAACCATCTACAGCTCAACTGGGTGTTTGGAGCCCCATCCAGCCTGACCTTGGATATCTCCAAGGATGGGACATCCACCATCTCTCTGAGCAATCTGTGCCAGTGCTTCAGTACCTTCATGTAAAAAACTTCTTCCTTACACTCAAGCTCAGACTCCTCTCTTTTAGTTGGAAATCATTTCCCATTTTCCATTTCCCTCACAGCAACACACAGAAACACTGTGAGAGGTGTAGAGCACCCGAGATCAGCCTCCACCTGCCCGTTTTGCTCAGTGCCTGATAACGTGTAGCTGATCTCTCAGCCAAGTGGCCAGCTGCCATAAAAACACAAAATCAGAGTTATGCAGAAGGAAACATGTCGTTTTATTATGTAGTATGCATTATGCAGGATGTCTGGCAAAGTGGGCCATGGAAAATGTGGCCATGCAGGATGGGGCTGTGCTCACAGTTTCCAGAATAAAAGTCCTGTCCTTGACTTACTGACTGACTTAGTGCTGCTGCCAAGTGTGGGCCAGGGAAGAGCAGGCTCAGCATTGCTGTGCGGAAAGGGCCAGACTCAATCAGCAGGAGGTGCTGGAGATCAGGAAAAAGCATGCTGAGATGCTGGATGGCAACAGAGGCAGCAGCAAGCCAGAACCTGAGGAGCAGAGTGTCTATTCTATAGGACACCTGCTCCTACATTTCCACGACCTGAAAATTCGTGTTATATCAGCTCTATTGGTGCAATTTGAGCAGAAGCAACAGGAGATGATTTAAACCAAGGGCTATTGTATTCAGAGACTTTAATTTTACGTTCTGCTCTCATGCCAATGATTTTGCTCCTCTTTTCCCTTCCTTACATCCTCACAACATAATTGCTTGCTTATAAACCTCAGCAGCCAGGGAACCATGCACACTTCACACTGAAAGATAATCTTGAACATCCACCTGAGGTGTTGCTGCTAAAAGCACAATTAGTCTCCAGCGAGCTAAGATGGATTTGTGCTGTCATCAGGCAGGTTTGTGCCATGGGCTGAATGGGGGGGGATACTCTGTATGTTCATTAATTTGCTTCTGAGCTCATCAAGGACAAAACAGGAGTAAGTGTGGGACACCATCAAATAGTCCCAGGGCATCAATGGCTGAAGGTCTTCATTCCAGTCCTGTCTTCTTCAGTGGTTTTGGTATTAAAAAAACAACCCATGGCAACCTCCCCTAGTCAAAAACCCTAAGTATTCATTAATTCCCACATCACTAATGCTGTAATTCCCTAGCTAAATAATATAGGGCACACTATACCCTGCCATCTCCTGTATTTGGAGAGCTGGTCCATGGATCACGTCAGATCTCAGTCTGATCTTGTGACTTGTCCATGTCTACATGGCTGAGCTGTAGCTGCCAACTCTGTTCATGAATCAGCCACACTGGAAGACCATAAAACCCCAGACAGATTTTGCCTAGAGAGAGAAATACACAGCAGCAAGCTAAATAATGCCACTTCCAGTGAAAGAAATGGATGAACAAGGGTACGAAGTGGTAAAATAGACAACAGCTCTGGGTCTAAAAGCCCTCAGTTGAGACTTGCAGGTAAATGAGGCAGGTGGTGAGAAAGCCCAGGTGGGTGTTGAGCCTTGAGCAATGCATTTTGCACAAGGACAGCCAGGTGCTGCAGCCTTGTAGGCTTTGCAAATAGTTTGGCTCTGGGAAAAAGACAGGTAGGATCTGGGGCTGACTGCAACAACACGACTCATCCTGGCCTGGGGCTCCTGAGACATTTCTGGAACTGCTTTACACTGACAAAAGGCTGTTTACATCAGCAGTCACTTCTTGCCAGCTCCCCTCTCACAGCCTGGATGGTGGGAGAAATTGGAAACCATTGCTGGCACAGACAGGTGGGGAGGGTCTGCTCCAACCCAAGTCTGAGGGTTCGCATCTCCTGTAAAACACACTGCAGCTCTCTTTGCATTTGTTTGAGTGCAACAATACCTCTGTGCCTTTTCCCTTTTGTACAGGCTGGCCATCAGACCTTTCTTCCTCATATGCTACTGCCGCTCTAGGGATCTGGGCACGGATCCTGCTAGCTCAGCAGTGCTCAGGGCTGCTGCACGCTGCTCCTCATGTAATATGAAGCTGGCTGCATACAGCGCTCTGTACCACCACCTCCACACTAACAAGCTCTGACATCTGCTCCCAGACAAAAAGGCCAAATTTGTGATAAATGCCCCAAATCTTTTGTTCTAAGAAAACCTGGAGTCAGTTATAAAAAGAGCTCGTTCCTCTGGGTATAAAAGGATGCAAGGAACAGAGGGGAAGTGTCCTTCCTGAACATTATGCTAACATAAATAATTAGCAATCCGCTTCTGGAAGTACCTGAGAGCTCAGTATTTCTGTGCACTGGCTCCACAAGACACATTACCACGCGATGCTGCACATTTCAGAGCTGCCTCATATCACTGCTACCTCCTGTTATCACTGTCCATAAATCACACTGGAGGCCACAAGAGATGCTCGCCAAAGAACCGGGGCTGGCTGTGAGTCCAGCAGCTTCGGTGTGTCTGCTTGCAAGCAGATAACACAAAGCTACAGCAAACAGCAGCAAGATAAAGAACAGAATTACTAACACTTCCAAGTAGGTGTCTCTGCTGGACAACACCGGGTTCTGCTAGAGGAGAAATCACTGGTATAAACATAGGCATTTTTTAATGGAATCTTTTCATTTATAGTAAACTCTAGTCCTAGAAAGTAAGTGGAAAGAGCAATTTTTTCAGACATCTTATCAGAAAAAGAAAAGCCCATTCATAAGAACTGAGTCAAACTCTTCAGTGGGATTAGGAGAGAGATTAAATACTGATGAGACAGCTTTCCTGGAGGGAAAAAGAAGAAAAGAAAAAGATCCAGTTTGCAAGAAGCACAGAAGCCTCCTTGTGAAGAGAAACAGCAACCACGAAATCATGCCCATGGAATCAACCCCACCTAACACAGACAGCTTGGCAGCACTGACCCCAAAACATGGGGCCACAGTGATTTCCAGGTCCTTCACCAACACTGAAACCAATGGGAAGAAGGAGAAGTAGGCTTTTCTTCTCTATCTTGAAGGAGCCAATACTGATGGCTGTCAGCTGTGGTAGCTCTTCAGAAATACTGGCCAACCAGTTTAAAGATGCTTCCCCTTTCTATGGGCGGCCCATGGCTGGTTGACATCTCTATCTGTGGTCTTCCCCTTGTATTTCTGTCTGATTTCTCCTCCAGGAGACAGAAACAGACCCCAGCCCCACGGCAGCTGACACCACCATCAGGACCACTGCCACTGTGCTTGCAGTAGATGAATGTCCCAGTGCTGGAGAACCCACAAGCAACCATCTAAATGCTTGACAAATTTACAGCTTAAGTTTGTTGGAAAGAACTGTACATGCATGTTGAAATGAAAGATTCTATCAAAAAGTTTCATTGCCTTAAGAAAAAAAAAAGTCCTTTCAATTCATATTAACCAGACAGGCCTTTTATTGGGTGCATTTCGAATGGCTACAATGTCCATCCTGCACAGCAAATGGCTCTGCTCTGACTCAGGCACCAGCCCACTATCATCACATTTCTGGACTGATTACTTCAGATGCTGTAGTAGCAATTTGGAAGGGAATCAGCCTTATTTGGGGTCAGAACCAGGCCAAAGGACTCCTGGCTTTCTAGATTTTGGGCTCTAAACTAAAGGAGCATTGACACACGTATGCACCAACCAGTCCAATGTAAGAAGCATACACTCATGAAATACTCACAGTTCCACAAGGAGTCACAAAGTACACCTTTCCAGGTGTCAGGAAAATTAACATAAGCTTCATCCACAGGAAAATGAAAGGCTGTGACAACTGATTGAAACTGGATGTAACATCCACAGGAACCATAAAAGCTTATTACCCAGCAAGTCAGATTCTTATCGTATATCAGACAACATAGCATTATAGTCCTATCGGCTCTGTGGCACTCTCCAACAAGCAAATCCTGCTGCTCCATACTGCACAACCTCTGTGCTTGCCACTTGACCACTTTTCCTGACCCTGGAAGGAGCAGATGTCTGTAGTTATGGAGGAGGATGGAACATCTCCATTACTGAGCTGAACACTCAAGCAGCACCTCTTCCCCAGCCTTCCT